AAAACAATGCTATGTCTAATTTTTAGTTCCCACTGCAAATTAAATGCAATCTTAAACCCTTCAGTGCTCGACAGCACTTTGATTTGCCATGGTGTTGTCAATTTCTCTTTAGCTTTTTGATTTTAATAAATTTTTATACCCTGTCTTTCTGAAGCGGTTGGTACGAAATGTATATATATTGATGTGGTAGTCTATTCCTTCATTTGTCTCTCTATCCCACTTTTGTATCTCGCAACTATTTTTTAAAAGGCTTGACAAATGTTGAGTAAGTTTTAACACAATAAAATTGAGAATGGAAATGGGGAATGTGTCAAAGAGACAACAACCCGACCATAGAGCAGACAACAGCCGACAGCTGAAGGCCACCAATGGGTCTTCAATGCAGCGAGAAAATCTATTCTTGCTCACATAATGTACTTTTACACCTATATCATGTCTTCATTTGAATAATTTTTGGCATGACAAGGACTATGTCCTATCTTTATACTACGATTCACATTTGTATCCCTTTCTCGTAAACCCCAAATCGAATTTAAAGAAACTTTCTCAGAATCTTCACTGAATAATGCCATTTTACACCTTCTATATTTTTATCTTAATTATTTTTGGGGTTTCCCTTACATGCCTTATGTTAGCAAATCATGGACTTTGCCATTTATTTATCTTGTGTGTGGGTGGGGGAATAATATCTTTGTATCCGCAATGCCTCCTAAAATTCCTTATTATATTTCATTGAAACTTTCTCAAAATTTTACTATTATAATCAATGCCATTGTGTTTTTTTTATGCAAAGGAGTAGGACTAACATGACTAAAAATTGGCTCTAAGATTTTACTGTTTTAAATCAGGTCAGAATGTTTCAAATTTCACATAGAAATAGTTGTGATATATATGAGTATTTATACAAAATAATTTCTTTTTTGCACCTCACATTATAAATTTCGAAGTTATGACCCCTTTATTATGCATTATTTGTTTTGTTACGTTATGTTTGGTCCAATTTTTCCATAATTTTTAACAGATTTTAGCATAATTAACTTTGGCCACCATCCATGATCCAGATAATTTTTATACAACCGCAAAAAAATTTTGCGGTCGTATATTGGTATGACGTTGGCGTCGTCGTGGTCGTCGTCGTCCGAAGACACATTGGTTTTCGCACTCTAACTTTAGTTTAAGTGAATGGATCTCTATGAAATTTTACCATAAGGGAAGGTGGGGATTGATTTTGGGGGCTATGGTACCAACAGTTAAGGAATTAGGGACCAAAAAGGGACCAAAAAGGGGCCAAAAATAAGCATTTTTATAACTTCCAGACATAACTTGTGTGTTAGTGTATGGATCTCTCTGACATTGTACCACAAGGTTCCACATCACAAAGGGAATGCTGGGATTAATTTTGGGGGTAATTGCCTCCAAATTTTAGGAATTAGGGGCCAAAATGGGGCAAAAAACAAGCATTTTTCTAGTTTCATGACAATAACTTGTGTGTAAGTGTATGGATCTTTATGAAATTGTACTACAAGGTTCCATATCACAAAGGGAATGCTGGGATTGATTTTGGGGGTAATTGCCTCCAAATTTTAGGAATTCGAGACCAAAAAGGGGCAAAAAACAAGCATTTTTCTAGTTTCATGACAATAACTTGTGTGTAAGTGTATGGATCTTTATGAAATTGTACTACAAGGTTCCATATCACAAAGGGAAAGCTGGGTTTGAGTTTGGGGGTAATTGCCCAAAACGTTTAGGAATTAGGGGCCAAAAAACAAGCATTTTTCTAGTTTCCAGACAATAACTTGTGTTCAAGTGTATGGATCTCTCTGAAATTGTACTGCAAGGTACCATACCACAAAGGGAAGGCTGGGATTGAGTTTGGGGGTGATGAATCATAAGGGGGGTTCAAAAAATTTGGGGGGAGGAGATTTTTTTTCCCTTTTTTTTCTTTAAAATTTTCCAATTTAAATTGGTTATTTCTGATTTATATATAAAAGCAAGTAATAATGATATTGTTTGAATAGGTAAATAAAAAAATTTTAAGTTCTAAGGCCACATTCATTCTGTGTCAGAAACCTATGCTGTGTCAAATATTTAATTACAATTCAAATTCAGTGCTGTATCAAGCTTGAATGTTGTGTCCATACTTGCCCCAACTGTTCAAGGTTCGACCTCTGCGGTTGTATCAAGCTGCGCCCCAGCGGAGCATTTTATTGTGTCTAAGGATTCAATATTGACCTTAGCACATTTTAGTAACAGAACATTTTGGATCGTAGGTTGGGTCCACAGTTTTTAAAAGCTTTTATGTCCGAAAAACGCACAAAATCTTCAAATTTTGACAATGTCTTCATGATCAAAATATGCTGATTTTGGAGCCTATTATGAAGAGATTTGTTTTACCTAGCATTAAGGCTTTTGAAATAGATCCATATGAGAACCAGATTATGGTCTTTTTAATATTTTATCATTAAGTTGAAATTTTACCAAAAGTAAACCTTGTTCTTTTTTGGGGTTTCTCCTTGCAAATCCTGGACTTTGCGATTGCTTTATCTTTGGGGGAACCCATTTTATACCCATGATATCAGCAGCTCATCCTAAACTTCTTTTGAGAAATAACAAATCAGGAACTTTGGAAGGGAAGGGTTAATAATTTTATGAGCTTCCTTACAGAACTTCTGGTATTTCAGGGTTCTCACTTTTTATGCCCCCTCCGAAGCGAGTGAGTTTTACCCTTGTTCGTCTGTCCGTACGTTTTTATGTGAGTGCACAGACTTTTCATTTGTAGCCATTGCGAGTCCAGAGTTTTGACAAAAATTAATTTGAACTGTAAGGAAATTTTTAATTTCACATACATGAATATATATTTTTAATTACATTAATATATAATTGTCAACACCAAACCCTATCAAGCATGACCACCAACATAATTAGTTAACGAAAATTCTTTGTTCTTCCAAATGGCTTCTAAGCTTTTTTGAATAGAAGATGACAGATAGTTATAAAATTAATATAACCATCTGTGGTTAAATTTTTAGTGGGGACATTACAAATACATGGTAGGTGTATAGAAAAACAAGAAATATTCATATACTTGCATTTTTGTAGCTGTGTTTGCAATATTTGAAACAAAAGCTTTGGCCATGGGCAAAAAAACAGTACACACAGGAAATTGCTGTACTATCTTTAAATCATGGGGACACATTTTATCAATTTGTGTTTAAAAAAAAGTTGTTGAGTTTTATGAAATACATTTAAAAAAATAAAATAAAGTTGTTCAATTTTGTGAAATATATTTTAATTTTTATAAGTTTATATCATGGATTCACCTGTATCAACACCTCTACTAACATTAATTAAAGAATTCTTGAAATATTAATCTGAAATTAAATCTATATTGATCAGTTTTTGATCCCTTTTAGAGATTAAGACAAAAACAATTGCTGCTTTATTGATTTTTAAGAAGCAGTAATCAATGTTGTTATTTCTTTCTCATTGATTGTATTGGAATTCCTTGTATGTCTAACAGGTTCAGGGATGAATAATTTAACGATCCTATTTTCCTAAAGCTGGTAGAACTTTATGAATTTGTCTCACGTCAGACTAAGATCTATATTGGTAATGATTTATAGTATATCATGGTCAAATAAGGTATATAAAATTACCAAAAGAGGAAGGATGGTTTTAATGTTACGTGGGAGATGATAAATAACCGTATATGTATTTGATATGACATTAACATTTTTATTTAGACATAGATTCAAAACAAAATTCAATGCAGGACCTAGTGGATTAAGAAAAAAGAACCCAGGATTTTTTTACCCTGTAGAAAAGAAAAAATTGTAAAATTTTATAAAGATCCAAGATTCCCCATTTATGTACGTAACATTTGTACCTTTAACCTGGAAACAAAATATGATTTGGCAAACCTAAAAGAATTAAAAAAAAAAAAACAACAACATTCAGACTTATAAATAAGGAAATACGGTACAAAATCAGAATTGTAAATGAGACAACTATTCAGTAAAGACATCCAAACATGAAATTACTTGAATGTGAGGTAAAACTTAAACTGGATCAGTCCACTCTCAAAGGTAAAACATACAGAAAATTATTTTGATAATAAATAGATGAGTTATAGAGTGAATACTGACATAGACAGTCTGCACCATTAGCCACTAGTCCAATGCCCTAGACTAGTAAAATTTTATTCGGACTAGTAATTTTTTGCAAAACTTTATTAAAACACATAAGAAAAATGTTGGAATATTGGTCTTTGGACTAGTACATGTAGTAGTAAGAAAAGATTTTGGTGCAGACTGCATAGAGGTCTCTAAACCCTATAGCTTCAATGGAGCTTTCATTAGATGAAGCCATATTAACTATGTGTACTAGCATGAAGCAAATTTGAAAAGTAAAGGTAATGCCGAAAACACATAATTAACAGTGTGTCAGGTTTAATTATGTGTTTTCTGCATTACCTTTAATTTATTTTTTTATGAATAGTTCAGGATTATACCTAATGTTCTAGGTTTTGGTCTTGAGAGAGTATATGATGATGGTTATTTCAGAAACATGCTCATGCATTTGCACAGAAATTGGTATTATACATTTTTTATATGGAATTTCAATGTACACATGCACATGGTCAAACATTTATGTTTTTTGAATAGATTGGTAGGTATCCTTGGAAATAATAGATGTAGATGCTCTGGTGACATGTGCAATAAATTTGGTGGAATTTACAGAAGTTTTAAAATAATGACCACATAACATATGTTATCATTTAAGGTTCTAGACAACCATTTAACCATCCTTCTTTCTGACAAGTCTGATATATCATACCCAGTAATGCCATAGGAAATCAATAATCATCAAATTAACATTTCATTGTAATAGCTAAACATCTTGTTTTCTTGTTTCATGTTATTGAAATTCAATAAAATCACATTAGAAATAATTTTCTGGCATAATCACACAATGAATTGTCCGGTATAGAATAATTATATTTCATAAATCAATATCTGTTTGATACTTTAAAGAATTAGCCATTGTTTCACTTTTAAAACATTCTCAGCATCCCTTGTATGTTTTGAAAATCTGTGTTGCAGAGAAGCTTAATATGGTAACATTGAGGAGAATTATGATAATTATATGTTTGTGAGTAAAAGACAGTGACGTTATTCATTAACATTTGAGGAAAATATCATAGCACCGTTTGGTAAAAATATTTTGATCTTTTTCAGTGAAGAGTATTCAAGTAACAGTTAAAATGGATATATGACGGTGAAACCGGTAGGAAATAAACATTTTTCTCTATTTGTTATTTATTTGTGATGGAGTTTTGCTTTGGAATATATGAACTGGTTCTTCAGACAGAGTGTGGGAGAGACTAAACAATTGGTGCAGCATTGCAACTTTTGCTGTACTACAGATTATTGCAAGATATTTGGATATTTAATTACATAATTTTGGAGTGAAATTTTTAAAGGTAAGAAACCATATTTGTAAGATTGATTTATGCATTTATATTTTATACTGATTATCTATTTGGAGTTATTAAAATTTTATGTTAAAGTTTGCAGTGACGTCATTCCCGAGTACTGCATTTCGGCAGAAATTTGTGAATCATCTTATTTGGATATAAGCCAAAAGTGGATTTAAGAGATATTATTATGTAAACAAGTAGTGGTTCTAAATTGTTTATATTTTTATTTGAAATATACAAGATTATGTAATCTACCATTGAAGATATTGAAACAAGATATTAAAGGTAATTTTAGGTAACCATGTGTTGTATTTATTTTGTCAAATTTTTATAAGAAATTTCAGAGAATCAAAGCTAAATTTTGAAATAAATATATACTATGTTGATAAGAAAATATGGTAGCTTAAAGAGTCCCATACATACTTTTGGTCTATGATAGGTATAAAGTTCTTAGATATATACAATGTCTATGTCTGGTCAGTTTATGACATTGGGCTATCATAAGATAGCAGACCTGAAGTCTGCTGCTGTTTATAGAAGTTGTACAGCTATAAGGCCACCTACATTTGTGTACAGACAAATTCAAATAAAACAAAAACCATTAGAATCAGTTTAACACTGGTAACCCTAACCATATTGTGTTCCATCCCATATTCATAAGGTCAGATCAGGAGTGAAGACTGGTTTTCATAGCATCTGTAAGACCACAAAAACATATTGTGTACAAGTAAGCATTTTTTAGAGGGAACCCATGTGTACAAAAAAGCATTGTTTAGAGGGTACCCATGTGTACAATAAGGCATTGTTTAGAGGGTACCAATATGTACAATAAGGCATTGTTTAGAGGGTACCAATGAGTACAATAAGGCATTGTTTAGAGGTTCCAATGTGTACAATAAGGCATTGTTTAGAGGGTACCAATGAGTACAATAAGGCATTGTTTAGAGGTTCCAATGAGTACAATAAGGCATTGTTTTGAGGGTATCAATGTGTACAATTGGGCATAAAGAAGGTACCAATCATCAAATCTTCCTAAAAATTATTTGAAATAATATCCAATATTCCCATAGATTGAGTGCAGGTTTCTTTTATCCAAAATTTGAAAGTGTGAAAATCCAATAAATACCCCAAAAAAATGAAAACAGGGCTCATGTTACCTCTTTTTTGTCTCGCTAGAGGAAGTTGCAGAAACAAGACTTGGGCATCCAGTTTCTGGGGTCAAGAATAAATTGTTAAAGTTGGTTATTAGATCAGTTTAAGAGGAACTCCAAACAGTAAGTCACTTATATATATATATATATATATGGTATGCAGTTGTATTAGAGTTGTCATATTTCATTTCCATGGAAATAATTTGGCCCTGCTCCCTCAGTCATGGTTCATTAACTTTAAAACTTTTCCATAGTGTAATTACATATTAAGTATTGCTATTTAAATTTCAACATTTGCTTTTTCTATCGAAATCACAGATAGGCAAGGCATATCTCTGCGTCAACAGTTTATTTGTTTTTGTAACTCAGAATTATGAAATATAGTATTATATAGCTATATAAAGTATGGCAGACCCAATTAAAGGTGTAGATCCCCAGCTGTTACATCTGTAGAGACTAGCCTAAAGCAGTTTTTTTATAGACTGACAATAATGTCGTCCAAATAAAAAAATTGTTGAAGACACTGAATTTCAATAAGCATTAGAGTCAGGTGACAAATAATTGCTTTCCGTTATGTGGCTTAGTTATAACTGTTTCTGACACAATTGATCTTAATGAATAACTTTATGCAACTTTTACATTTTGCAGGAGAAAAAAATGTCGTCTGTAAAGGTAGCTGTGCGTGTCCGTCCATTTAACAGTAGAGAGGTGGCACATAAGTCTAGCTGTGTTATTGGAATGACTGGAAACACCACTAGTAAGTATACAAAATGTTACATGTACTCACAATATTTAAAGAAAAAAAAAGGGGGGGGTTTGTAAATTTTTATTAGTGTTTTGTTTAGGAAACAAAACAGGATTAATGCTATTCTGTTTCTAAGTATTTTTTTCTTGGTTACTTTTCTTCAATGACTTTTGTCCCTGACTGCAGTGGTGGGACCTAGAAATACAAAGTGTCCGTCCATACAACACTGGCACATACAATTCTTGCCAGATTGTTATGAAATATGTCAAAGATTTATATCACCAATGTCTTGCATGAGTTGGAAAATCGGTGTCTATCAATGATTTTAAAGGAGTTATGCCCCTTGAAAATATAAATAATATGGAAGTTGCATTTGCAAGGGCTCTCCTGCGTACAATTCTTTCCAGATTTTTGTGAAATGGCATCTTTAATGGAACACTATTCCTTTATTTTGTACTGGTTTTCTGATAAAAGCCAGAAATAAGTAAACAAGAAATCAATAATGAGGGGCCTGATGGGGGGTGTCTCATCACAATTCATGAGTTGATTTTTTTGTCAATCACGATTCACAGAAAATAAATTTCCATGATCATGGATCACGAAAATATAAAAAAAAAAAAAAATCTGTAGAAAAACGGATCACGATAGCGAAAATGCGCCGATCACGATAACGAAAATAACCCATCAGGCCCCTCAATAATGGATCACAGCATGAATGAAATCTAATCTGTTCTTTGTGTTTCATGGAGACTTATACTCATTCACAAGTGTGAAGTTTGTAAAAAAACTAGACTGTAACAATTGAAACAAGCAGGGACATAGTAGCTCACGGCCCAAGAACTTTGTACTGGGTTTCCAATTTAGTTTTAAGTAGTGGCCAAATTGGTTACTAGAATTTGTTTTATTTTTTCTTTGAAATAATGTGATGGGATCCCAAACATAGAAGTTGGGTAATTAAAGGAAATTACACACAAGCCAAACTGACAATTACAGTGAAAATATGAAGTTTCAGCCTTGATGCTTTTCAGTGCCTTATATTGTAAAACTTAAGCAAGGGGAACCATCTCATGAGGGGACACAGTTATATCTTCCAATACATTGGTTCTTGTCACTTTAACTGGTAGAAGGGGGAGGGGCGTTCATTCTCAACATAACTAAAGTGTTAGATAAAATTATTAAGCAAAGTTGCTATATTTGTGATACAAATTGCCTTTTAGTTGTTGCATTGATTTTACACTCCATTTTAAACATTTACACATACAAATTATTACCTTAAGCTACTATACATGATATAGGAATAAATTTATATTAAAAAAAAAATTGATAGAATTTGTTCATACTTTGATATTTACAGTAGGTGTTCATTCATGTGTATGCTGATGCTTTATTGACTGAAATCTTTTGATTTCATATAATGTTTCCAATTTGTATGAAAACCACCTGAGATTATAGAATTAACAGTTCAACCCACCTGATAAATCAATACTCTTTTAACTCTTTGTTCCTTGTACTTAGTTCAAACTTAGTGCAAACTGTTAGTTTTTAAAAAAAATGCAAATTTTATTAATTTGAAAAAGTAATTGACATGATATTGATTTTAAATATGAATTATTAATAAAAAATATGTAACAATAAATTGTTATTCTGTGATCTATAGATGTATACTTAGTATTGAAAATTGATGAATATATTACGAGCTATCTATTTTGAAATCAACATCTTCATTATTCAAATTTCAGCTATATGACATATAATTGAGTTTTTCATGTGGAATGATACTGCTTTCATCAAATTAAATAATTTGTGCTGAAGTTTAGATTACATAAGAATTAAATGCTGTGTTTTTGAAAATTTTATATGCAATGAAAGCAAATGACAATCACAATTTTATCAAGAAGCTTCCGTGCTTCATGCAAAATGTGAAAGTCTCTCACTTTCATTTCATATAAATAAAATTAGAAAAAAAATTATAAGAGGTCACTGTACATTCCTTTATAAAAGTAAATTGTCTGACTTATCAACTCTTACAAAGCAAAATTTGAATATTTTGAATCAACCAAGTAAATATTCTCTATTTGTTAAAACTTTAGTAAATGACAAATTTTTCTTCATTTGAATGAAAAATCACAATATGAATTGTATTCCTGCATCAAAATTTGTTAATTTCAATTAAAATCTTGGCCCCTTAGTTGCTGTTATTTGCTCTCCAGGATGACAAAATACTTCAATACTACCTTAAGTGATGCAAATATTTATGTCTTTTCTTTTAATTTGTTTTAGCTATTACCAATTTGAAGGCAGGTCCCAAGGAAAACAAAGTGAAGAGCTTTAACTTTGATTACTCATACTGGTCTCATACAACAGTAAGTAAAGTTACTTAATACATGTGCTGTAAACGTCAAAATATTACGTCAGTGTTATCTTTTGCTTATTTCTCATTCACATAAATTATGCCAAAATATCCACCAAATGAATTGTTCTAAGAATGCAAAAAGTATTGATACGCTGTGGAAATTTTTCGTTTATGCACAAATTTAACCTTCTTGCAAAGAGTTTGCATTGAAATCACAAAAATAACAACCCCTCGGAAATTTCCACATTTACAATAGAATGGGTAAAATCTGATTGGCTAATACACACAGACAGTGTATATTTTGATTTGTGTCTTTTTGTTTTTGTTGTGTACTGTGTTATACAAAAAATCCAATTTACAATTTACACATTTTTTTACAACTGTAAATTCAGAAATTTTTTGTGAGGTTTTTATTACAATGTATTGTGAGAATTGAGACAATTAAACTTGCATTTTAAAGTTTTATAGCATGACATTATTTGTATGCAGCATGTTCTGAAATTGCAATATAAACTTAGCATTTGTGTCTGTTGTTTAACTAACACAATATTAAATGTTTGCAAAAATTTCTGAATTAATAGTAAATGAAATTGATAATTCTAATTGACATCAGCTTAATTTTTCTAGTTTCTATGCTTTATATAAAACCTACTTGTACATGTACATTAAAATTGCCGCATGAGAAGAAATACACACTAGATTTTAATTCAAAATGTATTTAATTTGTTTTCCTTAGCCTGCAGATAAGAATTTTGCAACCCAGAAGAAAGTTTACAGTGATATAGGATTGGAAATGTTAGACCATGCATTTGAAGGATATAATGTGTGTATATTTGCTTATGGGCAGACTGGTTCAGGCAAAAGTTATACCATGATGGGCAAGAGTGAGTCTGGGCAACAAGGAATTATTCCACAGGTTAATGTTATTTTATAGATTTATCTACTTTAATTTTTGCAACTTTTGTTAGTAGATTGATAACTCAAATATTTCAGACTTGGCCATGGATTTTCTCTTATATGTATATATGAATAAACCAATTAAATTAAAAACTTGAGAATATAAATCTGGGTGAAATAGAAAGGGTTAAACACAAAAAAAAGTAACTATGAAAAAATAAATTTGTTTACAGTTTATGTTTACTATCCATCGACAGTACATGGCCATTAGTAATACCCTGCCATGTCCGGTCTGTGTTTATGTTTGATGTTTTTCTACTTTGTATCAATCTGATGAGTTAAGCCTTTTTCAACTGATTTGGATAGTTTGTTCTTATTTTGTGCTGTCCCAGGTTAGGGGGAGGGTTGAGCGCTCACAAACATGTTTAACCCCGCCACATTCTTTATGTGCCTGTCCCAAGTCAGGAGCCTGTAGTTCAGTGGTTGTCGTTGGTTCATGTCTGTCATATTTGTTTTTCGTTAATTGTTTCATTATAAATTAAGCTGTTAGTTTTCTCAATTGAATGGTTTCATATTTTTATGTCGGGGCCTTTTATAGCCGAGTATTTGGTATGGGTTTTTCTCATTGTTGAAGGCCGTACGGTTACCTATAATTACTTACATCCACTTGATTTGAATTTTCGTGGATAGTTGTTTCATTGGCAATCATACCACTTCTCCTTATTTTTATATCACTTGTGATTTTTCACTGTATTGCATATGAAACTATGTTTTTTCCAAAAAATATTGTGGGGACATTTCTTGTCGGATTTTAATCAACTTGGTACTAATAGAAAGAGAATTACCACAGGCTTATTTGTTTGTTTGATTATATTTTTGTTGTGGAACGATTTTCAATTTCTGATGATATAAACACAAGTATTTTTTTTTGTTCAGATATTTCCTATATATTTCAACCATATTAAATAATAAAAAATTATTATACATGTTCATAAAATGAGAAAAAACAAAAATAATTGTATCAAGTAGTAAAAAATACTGACTTTAATGATTTGGATATTTAACAAGAATTATCATGTCGATTGCCCATATGTTTACAGTTTCCTGCCACTGTACATGATTGATAAAGACAATATATCTTTAGCAGCAGTTGTATCAAAAATTAAGCAGGGTCGTATTCACATTTTATTCTCAAATGATGCTTATACTGAATTTGTTGGGATATTAAATCAAAGATTGTCATTTAATCATGATATTTATGTCACACCATCAGTGCTGTCAAGTCTCATGCAATTTGCGCAAGACTCAGGCATTTTCATGCTTATTTGGTGGCATTTTCCTTTGAGCTATTGTTTTTTCTCTTCGATCTTTACAATTTTTGCCTAATCTCACCCATTTGCTTCATGAAAACTTGACAGCCCTGCACCATCCTTTGGACATATATTCTGCGGTGAATTTACAATTTTTTTGGCATTCCAATATAAAAAAAAATGAATATAAAAGTCACATTAAGCATAGAGTTTATTAAGGATGGCCTAAAGAGAAAATGAACAGAATCCAAAATACTATTGGATTGTACTGTATCACTTCTTATTCAGAGACAGGGATCTAGTGGCTCACAATTCTTGTTGAGAAATTCCCTAGTCTTCTTACGTACAGATTACATGGTGCAAAATTGGAAAAATTGACATAAAAAAAGATGGAAGCTGAAAAGCTAAATAATTTGATCGCTTAATGGAAATTTGGTTTGGATTACATTTGGCATGCGTTACTCACTTACAAATGTACTGTAAATACAGAAATTTTTGCAATGTTATCATTATTATAAAAATTGCAGGATAGGTTTCGCTGCAGCACCAGGAAAATAGAAAACAGTGATTTAGAGAAGCTACTTTGGAATGGCAAATAATCTTTGAAAATAGTAAAACAATGTTTGATGGTTTATTCTTCGTTTAGTTACATACAAATTACTCCCTTCATCAGATATGCTAAAAGCCCAAAGTGTCGCAGTGCACATTATCAATATAAAAGATTTTTAACTTTGGATTCGGGCAAGTGAGTTAAGAGGTCAGACTAGTAGATTTTCTAGCAACTTTTCCAAATGCAACTCTTGAATAGCAAAAGGCCCTCTCATAACTGAGGGTACATCTTTATGTTGGAAGGGTAATATAAAAATAAGGAGATGAGGTATGATTGCCAATGAGACAACTATCCACCAAAGTTGAAATAAAGTGGATGTAAGCAATTATAGGCAACCGTACAGCCTTCAACAATGAGAAAACCCCTTACCGTATAGTCAGCTGTTTCTGCTCCATTTCATTAATGATTCATCAGATCATACATTTTAAATTTGTTGACAACCTTATGCCGTAGTACATTTGTATAATGATATTTGATCTCAGGATTGCAAAGTGTGCATTGTTTATTTTTTACAGTTATGTGAAGAATTATTTATGAAAATAAAAGACATGACGTCTGACAAAGACCTGAATTATTCTGTGGAGGTAAATATATATTGACTTTATACTACATGTTGTAATGTGTCTTACATGATTATGTATCATCAATTCACCTTTTGAATTTTGTATTTGCACAATTCAGTGTTTGAAGTTCGTAAGTTCACACAGCAGCCAAATTACTTGCATGACTATTAATAGGGCTTTGAAATTATATTGCCCTGCAAAAATGAAAATATACTTTTTTCCCAACAAGGTAGGGATATTATTGGTCAATCCATGTTTTCAACAACACATGTTTGGTGAAAAAATGATTGATCCTTTTGCAAAAGCAGGCAGTGTTTCACAAAAGAATATTTCAAGAAAACATGTAGGATGAGATTTTAAGGGGGTACAGAATGCCTAAGAAAGATAACTCTTACTTCTAGTCTGTTTCATTGCAGTGTTTTAAAATCACATGTAATATGCAAGAATTTAAAAGATCCAGATCAGAATGTTAACATTGTTGCTAAGAGCAGATGTACACCTATTGTTATTCTTTTAATCTTTTAATCCATTTATAGTCCCACTATTAATGAAAATTGAATGAGAAGTCTTAATACTTACTCTCCTTAACGTAATTTGATACTAACGACCAGGACATAAATAACATTAAGTGCCCTCAGTCCTCTATAGCTTTGGCTTGAAAAGCCCAAAGGATTTATAATTGTAGACAATGATAGTGTAGGATATAGTTATTGATATGAACCGGTCATCATATCTAAATACAATGTACTATTAATGTATTTACTTGAGTGCCATTGAATTTTTGTAGTTCTAATAATCACAGTATGTTCTTGTGTACATTTTTCTGTTTATTATAATAAGATATCTTTACCACTGTGAATGAAGTTTTACAAGTGTAAGGTTCTGTATTTTGTGGAAGCTTGTTTGCCTTGAAAATCAATACATGTTTGAACGAAGCTGTCCTTTCCCTTTACAACCCTGTCATAAGATATCTTCTGAATATAAAAAAAAGATATTTTAGAGTAAGTGACACCGAATCACCAGCATTCACTGTGAAAATTCACCCCCGATTTTTGTCTCACCTTGACGAAGTAAAAAAAGCAAGGCTTAGACACGTCAGCTGTTTCCGGTGGCATCGGCTGCGTCAACAATGTATTAGTTTGTGATTAGGTCAGTCAAAGGGGAACCACAAGTGGTAGGTCAATATTGTTTAGTAAGCAGTTGTAATAGCATTAGAAAATCCATGGCATGAAGGCTATTTTGCCCTGCCCCCTCACCATGGTTCATTGACTTTGAATGCTTTGCATAGTTTACATCTTAAAGTTTGTGTCTAGGTCAGTTTAAAGGGAACCACTTATGATAAGTCAATTGTATTTGGTATGCAGTTGTATCAGCATTGGTTTTTTCTCATTACAATGGAGGTTATTAGGCCCTGCAATTTCAGTCATCATTGACTGATTGTTTTGCATAGTTTACATGTTATAAGTATTGTCATTTTAATTTCAGCATTTGAATTATACTATTAAAATTACATAAAGGCGAGACATACCTCTGTGTCAACAGTTTATTAAGTGTATTGTATTTATTTTTGAAGCAGCTTCTGTAACAATCTAAACGAATTCACCATTTGAAAGAAAATAGTTTAACAGATAAATGGCTTCTGTTGTAATGTAATAAAATTTCACTTTCTGTCTGTACGAATTCATTTCCGTTGTTAAAGTCAAAGATAAATCAAGAAGCCCAATAGTTTTTTGTTCATAATGATACTATGTCCAGACATAGGTAATATTGTATGCAAATAGAGTAAGATCTGTGTTACAAAGCACTATTGGTGTGTGAAAGATCTGATTTGGTAGTCTGGGAAAAGAAATCGTTGATTTTGTCTGGTTTGCTAATTGATCCCTGTAGATTGTTACGTGTGACATGCATATGTAATCGTGTTGATGAAATGGAATTCTGTAAAATCTAATTGTTTATATTTACTGATGTATATATATTCTGAAGTTGTTAAGTACAATGTATTAATTTTCCCACCTTTTTTTGGTCTCTGATCGATATTGTGCCATTGGCAATTAGGCCAACTTTAAAAGAAATATATTTTTCCTATTGCTCCCGACGACACCCTTTATGAGCTGTTGTAGGTCGGAAATATTTGTTTTCTGAATTGATATATTTCTGAAGCAAACAATTGAAAAATGGTGATATAAAAAATTAGATGGAGAGTGGGGAGGGGCAGTGAATAAATATTCATTTGATATGGCTGATTTGTAGAGATAGGCGAATAAGATATGGCCAATTTGTAGAGATAAATGAACAAGATATGGCCAATTTGTAGAGATAGGTGAATAAAAAAGAAACAATATCTAAGATTTGTCCTCATATGAATTTTTTAAAAGTTTGCATAAAAATTGAGTTACCAGTACAGCCCTAGTTTGATAGACCTGGACATTTTATGACAGTTACCAGTACAGCCCTAGTTTGATAGACGTGGACAATTTATGACAGTTACCAGTACAGCCCTAGTTTGATAGACGTTGACAATTTATGACAGTTACCAGTACAGCCCTAGTTTGATAGACGTGGATAATTTATGACAGTTACCAGTACAGCCCTAGTTTGATAGACGTGGACAATTTATGACAGTTACCAGTACAGCCCTAGTTTGATAGACGTGGACAATTTATGACAGTTACTGGTACAGCCCTAGTTTGATAGACGTGGACAATTTATATTTATGACAGTTACCAGTACAGCCCTAGTTTGATAGACGTGGACAATTTATGACAGTTACCAGTACAGCCCTAGTTTGATAGACCTGGACAATTTATGACAGTTACCGGTACAGCCCTAGTTTGATAGACGTGGACAATTTATGACAGTTACCAGTAGGCCCGAGAACACAGTTATTTCGTAGTGCATTTCTTTTAGACAGTAAATTCAAATTAAAAAAATCGCACCTGCTCTATCTCGAAAAGATTTGTACTGTGTAGTGTACTACTATTGATACAAATAATATCAAAATTATAGAAACTTCTACCAGCTCTAACTCAAAATATTGACAATTCTGTGTTAAGGGGGGCTCAAATTCAGTTTGACAGCTTCAGACATTCTAATTTTTGACCTTTTTTAACTGGACCAAATCACTACTTAACATAAAGATTCAGCACCCAAATTTTTTTAACATGTAATTTCACCTCCTTACTTAATATTTCATGCATAAAATATCAAGAAATAAATTGGGAAAGTGTATCAAAAAAAAATGCAAGTTATACACTGTTCACACTAGGGACTATATTTGTAGACAACGAAAACCAAAGGACGATAACTGTGTCCTTGGACCAGTACAGCCCTAGTTTGATAGATGTGGACAATTTATGACAGTTACCAGTACAGCCCTAGTTTGATAGACGTGGACAATTTATGACAGTTACTGGTACAGCCCTAGTTTGATAGACGTGGACAATTTATGACAGTTACCAGTACAGCCCTAGTTTGATAGACGTGGACAATTTATGACAGTTACCGGTACAGCCCTAGTTTGATAGACGTGGACAATTTATGACAGTTACCCGTACAGCCCTAGTTTGATAGACGTGGACAATTTATGACAGTTAAATGACTTATTGGTAATGAATGGATGGTCAGATCTTACTCAAATTTTGAATATATTTTGTTGTTGTTACATACTGCTTTGTTAAACATTTGAACTCGTGGTTTACCTATTCCCATGAAACCCATGAAAATTTGTACCCCATAGATAATAATAAGTGTTTTCTTTCATAGCATAATTTATTGAATATAGTCCACTCTCCAATGTAGGAAGAATAATGTCTAGGGATATTTTGTAGAAGTGACATGCAACCGATGATTTCCAAGTAATATCACCAGTAAACTGATACAAAAATAGACAGAAAATCAATTTCTTTTCCACAAAATGATTTGATGTAATTGAGGCTTTATGGCTAAAGGAGAATTTGAGATTAAGTTAAACAGAGAAAAATGGTCGCTGTCATAACACTGGAAGGTAGCAACAAAGCCAAATGATGTTTAGACTTTGATTTGGTTAAATGATTCAAGTAAATAAATGTCAGTTCTGAGCTTCATTTGTAATTTGGTGTTTATACATCTTTGAAGGCCAACATAGTGACTGCTAGATGCCCTTTTCTGCTAGACTTTTGTTATTGTATGAATTTTGTTATATTTTTTACTTTCACCAATAAATAAGTTTGCAACAAAGCCAAATGATCTTTAGACTTTGATTTGGTTAAATGATTCAAGTAAATAACTGTCAGTTCAAAGCTTTTCTTGTAGTTTGGTGGCTATACATCTTTGAAGGCCAACACAGTGACCTCTAGATGCCCTTTTCTGCTAGACATTAGTTATTGGATTGCTATATTTTCCAAAACTTTCAAGTATAGATATAAATAAAATAAGATGTAGGGTATACATCAATGAAACTGCAGCCCTACCTCATAAAAAACCAAAAGATATCTGGGCAGTCAACATAAGGTCATTATATACTGATAGACAAGTGTTTATGCAATATGTCAAACTCTAAATATTAATAAGTAATGTATATAACTAACAAATGCAACTATACTGCAATTTTATCTTATTTGCCAAAATTAGCTAAAAGAAACCCCATGCTAACTTTACAGACACAAATTTGGATAATACAGTCGAACCTCATTGTGTTGAACTTGGTTGTGTTGAAAACTTGGATGAGTCGAAGTAATTTCTCGGTCCCGGTAAAATTCCTGTTTGATCAATGTATATTTACATCTGATGAGTTGAACTCGGTTGATTCAAATACTCGATTAAGTTGAGTTAACTTCATAGCCCTTCGATATAAAACTATTGTAAATTGACCCTGACGTCTTGAAGTTCAAAAGTAAGAAATTTCTAAAGATGCAGACTAAATGATAACAATTCAAATTGGATGTATTTCTTATGCTGTCTAATCATTTTCAAAAGAGATAAAAGCTGTGTAAACATACTTGTTTGTATAACAGTTAAAATGACTTGTTTATGGTGACCGGTAA